CCACCACCAATGTATAAAGGTTCTAATTTTTTAAAATAAATTAATAAATAATTAATTCAATTTCTCTATACGCTTATCACTAGTTTTTGTCTATCTTTTTTATTATAGCCATTTGAGTGGCCCTGAAGAGGTATTTCTTTGTGGTCTTGACTTACTTTTTCCTGGTGACTAATGTTACTAAACATCTTTTTATGTTTTTATTGCCCATATGTGATCCTTGGAAAAATTTCTATTAAAATCCTTTGCCATTTTTAAACTGCTTTATTTCTCTCTTTACTAAGATATAGGAGTTCCTTATATAGTTGAGATACCAAGCCCTTCTTAGATATGTGATTTGCAAATACTTTCCTCACTCTGGGGAGTTGTCTTTCACTTTCTTGATAGTATTCCAGGAAGCACAACATTTTAAAAAATAAATTTACTTGATTATTTACTTATTTTTGGAGGCAAGGTCTTGCTATATAATTTGGGTAGGGCCTTGAACTCACTATGTAGCCCAAGCTGTCCTGAAACTCACAGTGAACCTCCTGCCTCAGCCTCCTGAGCACTGGGTCTATAGGCATGCACCATCACAACCGTCTAATACAATACTTTTAATTTAATGTCCAATTTCTTTCCTTTTTTTCTTTTTTCTTTAATCTATAGATCAACACCTGTTCCATTAAACACATGGTTTTGATTATAGTAGCTTTGTAGAAAGTTTTGAAATCAGTTCAGGCTCCAGATTTTCTGACAAAAGCTGTCTACAGACTATCCTTTGAAAAATATTGTTGGTGCTTTCAAGCATAATTATATTTTTAATATTTTAATTTATAATCACCATAAATAAATCCTTCACAACATGCCTTTTTAAACACAAATCTATCAATCTATCAAAACTCAGGGTTACTCCCACCACTTCCAAATTTCCCTCCAAAAAGAATAGTATTCTATTTTGTTATCTAAGTCAGAGTTCACAAGATGCAGCCTATGGCTAAATTTGGACTAATGATGCATTCTATCTGGCCACATAATACTTTAACAACTGTTGACTTTTAATTTCTTTACATTGTGTATGTATGTTCCACTTTATTGCAGTTCCTACTACTCTGCAATGCTTTATACTTAGTCCGTTTCACTCATGTTTGTATACTTGAGTTGTATATATTTGATCTAAATAAATCCATTATTGAAAAAGTAGAGAAAGTGGTGATTTGTTCTTATTTTGTTGTAACCAACAAACAATTCTTTCAAGATTTTAATCCAAATGTTAGATGAAACTCAAAAACCATTTGAACTGAGGAAGACTTAATAAATATTTACTGACTGGGACTAGTTCTGACTTGAAAGATGAGGAAAAAAGAAGTAAAACTTTATTGAGTTCAAGATACTGTTTGATATCAAGTCTATTAAAGATTTGAAAGCTGAAGGTAGTTAATTCAGTAGGTAAAATATAATTTAGGTTTATCAGTAAACTCCAACTAAAACACAGAATTACCTTAACTATGGCTGCAGTTTCATCATGATTTTCTATCTTGTCCTTCCTTATTTCTCATGGGTTATTCTGGGCTCCCACTATCTTACACTCAGCCTGATATAGCTGGAGGGATGTTTTATTATTACAGATTAGTTTATAAAGATATATAATAACAAAGGCCTCAAGAATGGATGGACTTATAAAACACTGCGATATCAGATAAGACAGGACAGGATTTTTCCTCCTCTATCATCTGCTGCTTGGGGAACGACACATCCTTCCTTTTTGGTGGACTTGCCACTGGCACTAATGACCTAGGATAACATAAGAGGGTCTTTTTAACACAATGCTAAGAACAGAAGTGAGGTAGAGATTTTGGAACAAAGTTGTGTCAACAAATGGTCATCATGGTAGCGAGAAATGCTTATCTGTCTTATATAGAACAGATCTTGATGGGCAGTGCAATAAGTTTTCTTTTACCTTCTTCATTTTGGTTGGATCTGAAATATTCTCACGGGTAAAATGAGGTGAAAATGAATAACTGAAACTCAAGCCATAAACCTGAGAAGAGGAAGGAATATGACAGAGCAAAGGAATACATGCAGAGGGTGAAAGATGAAGAGTTTGGAGGGATAAGCAGGAGAGAGGGAGTGCTCCATAGAAAGGTTCCATAAAGTACCTAGACAGACTCAGGTGTTACCCGGGAGAAAAGGTGGGAGAGGCAAAAGCACACAGAGGAATCCTACCCTACCCAAGACATGTTAGACAGGCAACGGAGCTTGGAGAAGAAATTTACTCTATTCATCCTTAAAGACACTGATATGATTGATCAACTACATGTGAATATTGGACTGAATCTTTCAGTTTGGGGCTGTATCATTATGTTCTTTGGATATTAAGAAGGAGATTCTCATAGAACAAGCAGAATTTGTAAAATTTCCATGCAGTTCACTACTAGATATAAACTCAAGTAACTATACTGATTTTGGAGGAAAAAAAAAGATCAGGAAGAAAAATTATATCATAAAATTAGACAGGTAAATAGGAAAAGTAGTATGTGGTTTCTAGGGATGATGTTTTTCAGTGGTGTGAAGTTTAGTGTGCTTTAAGGTTGATACACACTACTTAAATATATTTAGCAATACTAGCTTCAACCCACTGTCATTTATTTTAAGATGTTTATTTTTGAAGTCAAAAGATTTTAATTTATTAAATAAAATGTGCTTGAATTCTATTTAATGGGAAAATTGAGAGCACATAAACCAGAGGGGTATTTTTCAGTATTATTAGGTATTTTTCATCCTTTTAAAAGGAGTCATATATTCGTACCAGAAAATGACATTTTAAACAGAGTTAATCTATCAAATTTGCAAATGGATATTAGGGGATCAGGTAGACCATGTCTTAAATAAGAAATTCACCATCATACCATAACGTGGCCCAACTTCAATCTGAAAGGTCAAGGAGCTAGTGGACAAGCAGAAAATTTTTCTATTCAAATATGGAAAATTTTCTGGCATTACGACTTAGAAAAGAAAAGCAAAATTGGCTACACTACTAGTACATGAACAAGAGGCAAAATGTCAAGTGGACTTTTAAAAAACTAGAGCTTTGAATGTTCTGTGAGACAATCTGAAAACTAGAGCAGAAAGTCCTACTATGTCTCTTTTTAACCAATGCGATCAGCAATCTTAGTACTGACAGCCAGATACCATTAGCTGGTAGTAGTTCTAGTGCTGGTATGCCTAGATATAATTAAGAGGCTCTGGATAAATGATGAAAAGGTCAAACCATTGTTTGGTTAAAATGCCAAACACTGGATGCTGATAATAGAGTACCTGAAAAGGGCATCTGGAACAGAATCCCAGGAGCATCAGGAGATGTGATTTAACAAGGATAAATCCTGCTGGATTGTAGAAGGAGCACCTGGGATATGAGACGAACAGTCCTGGAATGAGATACCCAAACTGCTGCTGAGGACTGATAGGACTTCTAACCTTAAATGGAGAGTGATAATGAAGACTTCTCAAAAGAGACAAAACTATCTGTCTCCTTGCTGTAGAGATGAAGGACAAAAATAATCAGACTATCTGCCTGTATGAATTTAAAAAAATAAAAAACTTATTTCTAAATTAGCCAACTGTATGAGGGATGTGAAGGGCAGCACTTTGCTCGGAGAGGAACAAGGTATGCAGTTTTTAGTACAGTGTGTGGCTCAGAAGTACTCTCCAGTAAAGCCTGCCAGCATTTTATCCACAAATCTCTGAGACTTACAGAGAAGCCTGAGAGCTTATCAGTTAGAATTAGGTATGTATAAAACAGCGTAGTAAAGGCAAGTAACCTTTTTCCAATACAAAGTCTCACTTTCAATCTATTTCCAGATGACACTGTCTGATAGTGTTCATTCACTTTTGTATAATATAAATAATTTATAAAATGAAGGAACATTGTTACTAATAAATGCAGTGGAGGTCTTTCAATAAATATTAGTTAGAAGATGTTTTCACAAACCGATTTCTAGACAATGGGAAGCATTCAAACACCTCATCTAGTTTTGCAACTCATCATTAAACTAGTTTATATAGGTTAAAGATGCATGGGTCTGTGTTAGATTTTCATTGCTATGACCCAAATACCTGATAACCCAAAACTAAAGGAAGAAAGGTTGATTTTAGCTCATGTGTTCACAGGTTTCAGTACATCTTAGCTGACCCCAAGGCCAAAATACCACGGCAAAAGAGTATGGTGGAGGAGAGCTGCTCATCTTACAGCAACTAGGAAGCAGAGAGCAGGGGAAAAAGCAGAAAGAAAGGAGCCAGGGAGCAGATACAGTCCAAAGGTCATACTCATGTGACCCCTGCAAAATATGCTTTACAAATCTCCCAGGAATCTTGCAAGCTAATCAAACTGACAATCAATATTAATCATCACAATGGTTTTTACTCAAAATCCTACTCCCAACAAGTATAGATGAAAATGATTGGGAATGATTTGGAATACAGCAATCACTATTTTATAACTATTTCCATTCCTCACTCTAATTAAATAAACATCTATGGGGGGAAAATATATAGCTTGTTTTTGAGACACATCAGTTTTAATTAATAAATGTTTTATATTTATCAAATGCCTACTGCCCATGCAGTCAACACTAAGAATCTTATGCAGTCCACAAACTACATATGTATTAGAAAGGTTTCTTGTACCAGACCCACCAGTGACCCTCTCGGGAAGTCTGCCTCCATGTACAGCTGGTGTTAAGTGGGTGTGAGTCACGTGATTGGTCCCAACTCTCTGCACAGTATTCTGGACACGAGATGGACAACTGACCTAAGGTGACCCGCAGTGGTGACCTACGACTGTGCAGATTTATTTTAAAATACGTGCAGACCAATCAGGTTCTCTCTCAGGAATTTTATCTAAAAGATACAAAAAGAGATGACTGAGAGTTGTTGGTATTACAGTTAAAATGTCACAAAGACCTTTCTAAGATATTTTAGGCCCTGCACAAAACAAAGCTACAAAGAACTGGGTCAGGAAAAGGGGAAAACATCTGATTCAGAGAGTGACTGCCTGGGGTTACTTTGGTGCTTGTCCTTCTGGAGGAACTTGGTCAACTTTTCCTGGATTTCCTCTGTGTTTATGACAAACCTCTACCATACTCGAGTAGGTTTCTGCTTCTTAAAATATCTTAACTAAAATGGAAGCAATTCCTAAAGTATTATATTTTTGTTTTTCTTGTACAATTAAAGAGGTATTTTTCAGCCAGCCAGGATTTAAAAGATGTTAAAAATAATTTAGTTCACTAATTTTTCATTCTTATTTTCCTTCAACAGGCATTTTTTGTACATCTACCATATGTTAAGTGAGATAGCAGACAGCTCTTCCTTTTAGAAGTTTATAACCTAGAAGGGGAACTAGTCATTTGGAAAGCAATGCAAAATAGGTAAGTAAATAACCAGTAACCACAGGGTATTATCAGGAAAAGAAAAACGTAAGAATGGGTGATCAAGACAATACAGTGTTTTTAGAGAAAGTAACATTCAAACTTAGACTGAAAATAATGCCAGGAAAAGAGTGAAGAAAATGTTGTAGAGAAAAAGGAAAGAAAATAGAGTGGATCCTTGAGTTACAACCAGCCTGACATATGAAAAACTTGGGTTATGACCAGAATTTTAGGTTTAACTTATAACCAAAGTCTTGAGTTACTATTCAAATGCCGGTCTTTCCTGTGTGGCGTTGAGAAATCCTGGGCCAATATCTCTCTAAGGATACTGAGATCTGCCTAGAAGAACATGTAGTCTAAAATTATACAGGAGAGAGACTCTGAAGGTTGTGTAGAGGAGCCTGAGCCTTCAACTGACCCTGTGGCTGATGACACTGTCTCTATAGCAGAGTCCATAGGCTTGCAGATAGATAATGGTGATATTGAGGAAGTAGTGGAAGAACACTCGGAGGAACTGTCTACAGAGGAACTTCAGCAACTTCTGGCTAAGCAACAGAGAATGATAGCTGAGGAACTTTCTGAAGAGAAGGAGGTGTATCAACAATCAGTGGAGCAAAGTACTTCTTCTGAAATAAAGGAAATCCTAAAAAAATGAACAGAGCTACAAACATTTGTAGAGAAGACCCACCTAGACAGAGAAAAAGCCAATCACTGTATTCACTTGCTTAATGACAATGTCATATCATACTATCGAACAGTGTTAAAGAAAAAACAGAAACAGACAATCTTAGACCAGTCTTTAGCTCTGAAAAGGTTGAGCACTAGTGATCCAGAAGCAGGTCCTAGTGGGCTACAGACTCTACCAGAGAGAAAGGACACCAGAGAGCCAGATTCCTGAAGTTCTTATGGAAGGGGACTCTCCTTCCGAAAAATAACCACCTTCCATTTCATCCTCCCTTCCTGCAAGCCAAAGATGTCATCTCAAATGGTGAGTACAGTATGAAATTGTGGTTTCTGGTAAACCAGGACATTTTATAACTTTTTGGTGAATAAGCTAGGAAAATTATTGGTGTTTCTGGTAAATTATGTACTTTATACAACCCTTTTTATTATGAAAAGGTTAATTAAGGGTGCTTTGGGAGGTTTGGAACACATTATGGGTATTTCCATTATTTCTTATGGGAAAAAAAAGTCTTGATTTACAAACAACTTGAGTTACAATCAGCCCTTGTGAACGAAGTGCGTTTGTAAGTCAAGGGTCCACTGTATAAATGTTTTCCACTTGAAAAAAAATCTTAAGAAATGAAGTACAGTGGGTTAAAAGAATGACTCTAGTATATGGTTGGAGAGGGAGGAAGGAAGAAAAAAATTATCAAACGTGAAATAATTTGAAAATTATTAAGTGGGAAATCAGTGAAGGTCTGTCAACATAAGAGCAATAGCCTGATAGGGTTATAAAAACTCGCTCTGGGTGCACTGGAGAGTACAATGGGATAAAAGACACAGAAGGACAACTGGAAAGACCAGTTAGGAGGTTACTTATCAGGAGATGATGCTGACTTAGAAGAAAAGCTCAAGGCCTGTTGTGAAGAGAATTGACAAGGCAGTGAGTCTAATATTTTCCAAATTCATTCTACTACAAATTGTTCCAAGATATGTGTATGTATGGCTATAATAAAAACAAAGGCATGCATAAGAATGCCGAACACATAATTCTATATAATGGCTCATCTGAGGAAGGCCAAGGGGGTGTGGTCACAAGGGAGTACATATAAGGTTTCTTACCCTGTTGGTACGCTTTCACTTCTTTCTTTTCTTTTTTCTATTTTTTAATTTGAGACAGCATCTCACTGTGTAGTTCAGGCTGGCCTGGAACTTGCAGTGATTCTCCTGCCTCCGCCTCCCAGTGTTGAGATTACAGGCATTTGCCACCACACCTGGCCTCCTTTCTTTTTTTTTTTTTTGTACTGTGGATCGAACTCGGGTCCTTGCACTTTTGAGACAGGCACCGTAACCACTGAGCTAAATCCCCAGCCCCTTTCTTTCTTAACTAGAGGGCCAGACACACAGGAGTTCAAGGTATATCTTAATAATTTTTCCATGTTTTAAATATTTAGTCATAAATTTAAAAGAATATGTTCAGTTATTTTATTCATTTCATGTATATACACAGCTTAATTGCTATGAGCTTTTACACAGTGAAAGTACCTTTAGATACTATACTTCATTAGGAACTGGAAGGTTTTTCTTTTTTTTTTGTTTGGGGGGACTGGGGTTGAACCAGGGCCTGGCACGTGCTAAGGAAGCCCTCTACCACTGAGCTGCATTCCAGGCCTGGAAAATTGTTAGTAGGACAAAGGCCTGTTACACTATACTTGAAGTCATTAATCTTTGTTCTGATCTACAGAACTAAACACACAACTAAATATAGTAGTCTACTGAACTGGTCCAAAGTATATAGTCTTTGTGAGTTTTCAAAGAAACATGGTCTGATTTCACTGAAACAAAGTATCATTCTTATCTTTAACAGTAAACATATACCTTTATTTAAAAGTACTAAGGCTGACATGCTTATTCTCCTGTTATTCATCTTTTATCATTACTCCGTATTTTTCATTTAAAGATATCATAAATTGACATTAAATGTTCTGAAGAGCAACAAAACCTGCTTTTTAGAATAAGCACAGAAGAGAAATTGCAACCAGGGCACTGTCAGAATAAAACATGCAAAAATAACATACCCCAGTCATTCCACAAAGATATCAACTGTTTCCAGTTTGCTCCCAGAAGCAGAGAAGTGGCTTACTGCCTGCCATTCTTCTCTTTCACCACCATACTGAGCCAGAACACGTAACCGACCCCAGCTCGTCACCAGCACATCCTATGGTCCCTGCTCTGGATCCTGCCCTGAGCTCAGCCACTTCTCACTGCCTCTACTCTCACCATCATGATCCCAATACCATCACTCCCCACCCAGATTCCGGCAACTGTCTCCTAAGTGCCTCAGGTTCCTCCCTTGATCCCTACAACAGTATCACTTCCAAAGCACAACCTGACTGTTCAGGGAAAATGTGCATCAGTGCATGCAACTCCTATACTCAAAACCCTCCAGTAGTTTCTCACCTCAGCCCAATAAACCCTGGTCTTCATGACAGTCAGATGTCCCTGTTAAGACTTCCTGCGTTAGTTTTCTTTCCTTTGTTTTTCTCCATAAAACTTTCTACCTACGATATACTATATATTCTACTTACTCATTTATTGTCTGTCTCTCTACAAGGAAAAAACTTTACAAAGATAACAGTTTTATCTCTTTTTTTTTTAATCGCAGTACACCTAAATTGGAATAGTACCAACATTCATATTTAAATTTATTTAGTTTAGTGTTTGTTGAATGAATGAATGGTCTTCTAAAAGACCTCTGATTGCAACATCTTCAGAACAAAGAAACACAGATGTCATTTTAACTAGAGAATTTTGTCCCTCTATAATGTCAGCATTAATGACAACATAAGAAACACTTGATATCATAAGACTCATCACAAGTCAATGATAGGAGAACCACAGAAATCCTTGCATGTGGGAAAGAGTTGGGGGTCCAGGAATGAATTTTTTATTAATACATACTAATTGTACACATGAATGAGACTTAGTGTGATATTTCCATATGTGCATACAATATGCATTGATCATATCCATCTAGCTTCTCTCCCTTCACCCACCCTGACACTCTTCCCAGTCCCTAGTAATCACTGTTCTACTTTCAGGTTAAAGTTTTTTTTATTTTTCACATATGAGAGAACATGTGGTACTTGTCTTTCTGCATCTGGCTTGTTTCACTTAACACCATGTCCTTTGGTTCCATTCATTTTGCCCCAAATAACAGGATTTCATTTTTCTCTATGGCTGAAGACTACATATGGAATATTATTTTCTTCATCCATTCATCTTTTGATGGAACCTAGACTGACTCCATGTGTGAGCTACTGTGAACAATGCCATAATAAACATAGGCATGCAGGTATCTCTTTTGTATGTTTATTTTATTTCCTTTGGATATACACCTAGGACTGTGATAGATGGATCACACTGTAGCCCTATTTTTAGGTTTCTAAGGAATCACCAGGCTGTGGTTCTATATACCAGTGGATATACTAATTTACATTCTTAGCAATTCTTACCAAGAATCAATATATAAACGTTCCCTTTTCTCCACAGCTTCACAAGCATTTTTTTCCCCTGCCCCTCTCTTTCTCTCTCTGTGTATGTGTCTCCTTTCCTTCTTTCTTTCTTTTTTTTTTTTTTTGGTACCGGGGATCGAACTCGGGTCCTTGTGCTTGCGCAGCAGGTGGCAAAACCACTGAGCTAAATCTCCGGTCCCCTTTCCCTCTTTCTTTTTCTTTTTTTTGGTACCAGGGATTGAACTCGGGTCCTTGTGCTTGCAAAACAGGTGACGGAACCACTGAGCTAAATCCCCAGCCCTCTTTCTTTGATTCTAACTGGGGTGAGAAGGTATCTCACTGCAGTTTTATTTGCATTTCCCTGATGGATAATGATATTGAACATTTCTTCATATTTTCATTGGCCACGAGTATTTCTTTTCAATAGTGCCTATTCAGATCATTTGCCCATTTTTAAACTGGATAGCTTTTTAAAAAAATTGTTAAGTGCTTTGAGTTCTTTATATAATCTGAACATTAACCCTTTGTCAGATAATATCGTCTCCCATTCTGTATGTTATCTTTGTGCTGTGCAGAAGGTTCTCTTACTCCCAGAACTGGAGACTGAACATAGGCCTTCACACTGACCTGTATCCCCAGTCCTTTTTTATTTTTTATTTTGAGACAGGTTCTCGCTAAGTTGCCCAGGTTCAGCTCAAACTTGCGACCTCTCTGTCTCAGCTTCCCAGAGTGCTAGCATTCACCAGGCCTGGCTTGAAGTTTTAAAATCTGATAAAACTGCATTTGCCAATATTTGCTTTTGTTTCCTATATATAGGGGATCCTACCTAGAAAAATCATTTTCTGTACTGATATCTTGAAAAATTTTACCTAGGTTTTCTTCCAAGAGTTTCAGAATTTAGGGTCTTACAATAAGGTCTTTGAATCATTCTGAGTTGACTTTTATACAGGGTGAGAGATAGGG